TCCTACAGGTGATGAGTAGTGTTGGAGATATGGTGGTGATAGGGTTGGTGGATGATGGTGGTGGTAGTCATGATGACGATAATAAAGTTAGAGGATCTAAAACTTCAAAATCACTGTTCATTCATAAAAAAGGGCCTTTTTTTCTTTCTATGAATGCATATTATGATTTTTGCCATGATAGAACGTCAAAGAAAGATTACGTGATGGTTAGTATTTGATTCTTGAGTGTGAGTTTATTGATAATTTTTACTTTTATTATTAACTTCATCTTGTACTTGATGATAATTATGCAATAGGATAATAAAGACATTTCACATTTAAAATTTAAGTTGAGTGTAGAAAGAGGTTAAATGAGTTCAAATAAAAATTTCGTTACCAAAAATGTTGATCTCGCATGTGAATTCCTGCATCAAATTACTTGTTTTGCATCACACACGAGAGTAAGAGGGTAGACAATATTACCATGCCAATAAAAACTTAAGATCAATTCATACCCAAAATGCAACTCATGTTTCATCTCAAACAATCAAGTGAAGGTTGCCTCATGCTCCTAAACTCAAAATTAATTTTGTTAGCTCTGCTGTGGGTTCACAAGCTGCAACTAGTTTTGTCGTAAGTAGTGGTTCTATGGTTCACCTATTGTGGCTAGTGCTCGCAATCTTGGAGAAAGTACCATTTTTGTTGCTGAAGCTCTTACTCTTCATGATACTTTTTGATTTGCAAAGGTTAAGGGTTTCAAGGAGATGCGTCTTGAAGAAGATTCTAAGCTTATCATTGATGCCATTTTAGTCAAGTGTAGTACACCCACATTGGCGATCGAGGACAATCATTGATGACATCAGATCTCTGACCAGTTCTTTTTCTTTTATTTCTTAGGCTCATGTCTTTTGTAAGGCGAATTTCTTGCCGATGTAGTTATTAATGTTGGTCACTTGATATAATAGACATATATTTGAGACCGGTCCTTACCAGCTACTACTAGAAGTTTTTTTTTGTTTGATTGTACTGAAAATGGTTGTATTAGAGGTTTTTTTTTTTTTTTTTTTTTTTAATTAAAATTTAAAAAAATTACTTTTATAAAAAATATATATATATATATATATATTTCGATACATATATTAAAAGTTATTTTAGAATAACATTGGGTAAGAAAATAATATTTTAATTTCCAACCGATAAAATTTTTGCTTGCCATTTCGACAGTGACAGCTCAGCAGAAAACAAAAACAGTCGCAGTAACTCCATTAGAAGTTGACTTCTTACCAGAAAACTGTTGAACAACGGAGAGCCATGGTATCCAGCAGCAGCAGCAGCAATCAGCTACCTGCTGCTTCAAAGCTCCTCCTCTATTCCTACTGGCAGAGCTCCTGCTCTTGGCGCGTCCGCTTCGCTCTCAATCTTAAAGGTTTTTAAAAAGGATTACTTTTAGTGTAAATTTTGCATTTTTTGTGCTCCTGAATGTTTTATGATTCATTGGAATTTAATGTCACTCGATTTCAATTTGTGTAAAATTTTGGTTGAATTAAAAATTCGAACTTTTTTTTAGCAGCGTTGGTGTGTTAAATAGTTAGGTGTTAGGGGGTGGGAAATCGGTAGGATCGAACCCGCAGCGAGTTGCATTATTGCTTTCCGTAAAGCGCCATATGCTAAAAATTCGAACTTTGTCTGGGATTCGGCTGTGTTTCCGGAGTAATTGGATTAGTATAAGAATTTCAATAATATTTCTGGTTGATGGTTATTTTGATTCATGAATCAATTACCGAATGTGTGGTGCAATTTATTAGGGTTGGATTTTACTCGGTTTTGATTTGTTGTTAGTTCAATTGAATGTGTAGGACTTCCGTGTGAGTACAAACCGGTGAACCTACCAGCTGGAGAGCAGTTCAGTCCAGGTGAGTTTGAAGAGAAATTATGCTCATTACAAGTCGCATTCTCTTGCCAAACAATCCGTTGTCAAATTGTTAGTGTTCCTATAAAACTATCAATGCTTACGTTGGTGGATACTGGATACTTATCGAATGCGTGGTACAAATTCACTGCCAGGCAATGTCATATGCCGGAGATAACCCATTTAATAATGATGCCTATGTTTTCCAGATTTAAATAATTAAGCCTTGTTTTTTGTGCTTGAGTTGCAGAGTTTAAGCGGTTGAATCCTCTTCATTATGTTCCGGTGTTGGTCGATGGGGATACGGTGGTTTCAGACTCCTTTGCGATATTGCTGGTTAGTGTAATTTGTTGGGAAATGGATCATCTGTTTACAGTTTTTGAAGGTTTTACTTGTGCCTCTAAGTGTTCTGTTATTTGGGTACAATGTGTTCTTGTGATGCTCGATTAGTATTTAGAGGACAAGTATCCTCAGAGACCGTTATTGCCAGCTGATCCTCGGCTAAGAGCTCTTAATCTCCAGGTATGTTTGTACTAAATGTGAAGTCCATATCAAATTTAAATAATTTGGTTTTAGAATATTCTGCACCTGAAGTTGACTAGCCTAGTTTATAATGATAGTTGGTCCTTACACCGTGCACAAATCTAAGCAGTTGATCCAGGATTTGAAGAAATAACAACATATGTTGCTGCCACATAAAAGAGTTTATGATGTTGTGTCCTAGGCTGAAGAATTTTCTAATTTTAGATGCCCTTGAAGGCTTTCAGTAACGCTAATCAAGTAGCTATGAGTGGGCTCAGAAAAATAGTATTTCAAAGTGTTAAAAGACCTTATCTTTGTGTTTTTTGTTTGCAAATTATTCTCTGCTTGTCCCTTTTATATTCTTCAATTAAACCATGTCGTGACGTGAACTGATGTAAGTCGCGTATCTTGTTCAAATAATGAGAGAGGTGAAGTCTTTGTTGAAGTTAAGAATGACTTCGTCATGGACTTATTGTTTTTTCTAATTTGCCAATTAGTGAATATTGTCACAGGCCGCAAGCATTATTAGCTCTAGTATTCAGCCACTTCACATGCTGTCAGTACTGGTACATTCTGTTTCTTTATACCTTATCTGAAGAACGAAATTTGGCTTTACATTCATAGCTATGTAGACCTTGATTTGTTTTAATATGTATTTATCATGTACCATTTGTTTCTGTAGAATTATCTTACAGAGAAGTCTGGTCCTGAAGAGTCCCTGTCTTGGGCTCAATCGAATATAGATAAAGGTTTCTTCGGTGAGTGAATTTCTGAATGTTCATGTTCATTTTTTAAGCATAAACTCTCTGCATTGTGGATGCTTTTTAGGAGAACCTGTTAGCACTATGTGGAGTCTGGTCGTTATGTTGTAGCCTTGTTATTGTAATGTATTCCATATATACTTTTCTGTGGTCTATGCATGAGAAGGCTTATACTTGTAAGTTCCTGTGATCTGTAAGAGTGATGTATGATAGCAACTGCTATGAATGGCCGCTTGCAGATTGGCAGTTCATCTGTCATTATGTTTTCCATGTGCAAATTATGGACTAAAGAGAGATCAAAAGAATTGACATGAAAAATTGCTTATGATTGTGTCGGTCAAGTATAAAATGGATCACTAGATTTGGGTTCTGCTTGACTTTATTAGTTACATTACTTATATGGGAGACCTTGCCAGGCTGATTTATGTCTGGAAGTGTTAAGTCATAAACTATGTACTAAAGCTTTACATATATCTATGTAAATGTATCGTAATTGTTGAGAGTGAATCCACATTGGGGAATTAAGGTTGCATGTGCTTTGAAGGAGTTGTGCTACTGTCCATATTTCTAATTGGTTTTAGTGGGACTTCAACTACCTTCATTAATATCTCGTTACATGCAACTACAAAAGATTTCTATTCATTGATGTTATTTCTTTTCTCATATGTAGCTCTCGAGACATTGCTGAAGGATTTTGATAGTAGATACGCCACAGGAGATGATGTGTATATGGTCTCTTTTCTGAACGCTGTGTGATTCTTATTTACATTTCGTTAACTGCAATCTTATCTTAATTCTTTTAATTTGAACAAATCTGAACCAGCAAACTGCTTCTAACCCAATACATTGTGGGACGACATCAATAGTGTCAATTTGATATCTCCACGATGCTTGGATGTCTATGTACATGGAGTTGAAGAGACTTTAGCCTTTGCTTTTTGCTTTCTTTTCCTCTTTTTATACAGAATCGTTATCGCTCAATTGAACTCGTTTTATCACCCATTTGACCTCTTTAGAGTATAACTAACCAATTAAAGGGGTTTAATTGCAGGCGGACGTGTTCTTAGCCCCACAGATCGCTGTAGTTACCACAAGGTTTAATATTAACATGGTAAACTCTTTCCACTTTTTCATTTGCCAACTTTATTTTGTAGGTTTGAGTACCAGTAGTTTCACTCCGCTCTTTGTACATTGAGAGTTGTATGTGTGTGTGTATGTCTTTGCTGTGTGTAAACTTTTGGGGGCAACTCTTAAACTGTTTCTGTAGTTATTCCCTCCTCTAAAAGAATCGTCCAGTAATACGTGCATGTCTTAGTTATTTGGAAAAGGGTTATATATTGGTTTTCCTTCGCATCACTTTCTTTCTTTTGGGGCAACTCTTAACTGTTTATATAGTTATTCCCTCCTCTAAAAGAATCGTTCAGTACTGCGTGGATGTCTTAGTTTTTTAGAAAAGGGTTATATATTGGTTTTCTTTCGCATCACTTTCTTCGGTATCAGCCAACATTTTACTTATTGGGGTCCTTAATGTTTGCTACATTCTTTTTTGGTGTAGTCCAAGTTCCCTACTTTAAGTAGACTGTATGAATCATACAAGATTTTACCAGAATTCGAAGCTTCATTACCAGAAAGGCAACCTGATGCTGTGCATTAAGTCTGCGATTTTGCCGCCATATGACTTGAAACAGTTCGGTATTTTCTTGCCTTATGTATACTAGCATTTGTGTTATTGTATCTCTATATAAGGTCAAATTTGAAACATCGGTTGCTTCTTTGTAAGAGAACATCACTCAAATTCTTCGTATGATCAGATGTATTGGTATCGAACAAAAAAACGTAAATATCTATTTCCGAAATCAAACAAAATATGTAACAGTACAAACAAATTCAGCCATGCCAATCTTTACTACAACTTCATTCTCTCTAAATCCTGTGTTCTAGCTTGTCACCCTTGCAAAGTGGGTTTTGCTTGGCCAAAACGTCTCGTCCAGCCATCTTGAAATCTACATGGCAACAGTGTTTTTCTGGGTAGCGATGCGTCCCACAGAACACACCACCACACCGGCAGCTAAAGCCGAGCACTCCAACCTTTCTGTTGCAGCTTTCGCACCTATTTTTCACACAGGTTGATCCACTACTACTCTTGGAGCAACCAGCAACGGCGACAGAAGGAGAGACCGAGTTTGATGCTTTCAAAGAAGGGAAGGGATTTATTCGCCCAGCGACGGAACCCCTATCAAGGTTATTCATTAAAGCCACCATGGCGGACTCTGCCCTCATATTCTCTCGGGACTCTTGTTTCAGGTAATCTCTGTAGCATCTCGAGCACAGGTTCTTGGTCTCCACAGAGCCATAGAAATCGCAACCGTTTGCGCAGCAGGGACGCTCTGTCATCTTGTTTTGCGACTCCATATCGATCCCTTATTGCTCCTTCTCCTTGTTTTCTTGTTTTTCAAGTAACCGTGATTCTTCTCTTCTTCTTCCGGCGATCGAACTCAAAAACCAAGCTTCTTCCTGGGTAAATTCAGCAGCACAATTTCTTGAGTTTGTAATACAAAAGGCTTCTTCCTGGGTAAATTTAGCAGCACACTTTGTTGAGTTTGTAATACAAAAGCTTGTATGGCGTGTGCGATTTATATAATACAAGGGCGATGGATTTGTTGTGGGAATCCGTTTCCAAAATTGAGTAGGATTACTTCGTATGACTTTTTCTGCCTTTATTTATTATTTATTGTTTTAGAAACTTTTGGATTTTAGTATGATGTATTTCATTTCCCAACAGTGGAAGGAGTCCAAGAAGTTCGAATTAATTCCTCTTCCGGCAATCTTTTGGATAAGCATTGATCAATGGATATTTCGCTTTACTTCCGAAGGAGAATTCCAACAAAAAGAATCAAAGTAATAACTTTATAAAATTAAGATGCTATAGATAAGCAAAAATAAATAAGAATTGTAATAAGTAGATTATCTTTGTGCAAGTGGCCCTCTACCACAACGGTAGAGAGGAGTGTTGTATTTGCATTACAACATGAGTTCGAACCTCGTTAGCTTACTAATTTAACAAATCTATCGTTTGACAAAAAAAAAATAAAGATTAACTTTGTGGATATGCTTTATTATTCATTGACCTTTTTTTTTTATGACGAAGACAACTTTCATTATAATAAAAAACTAGTATAAGACCCAAAAAGAACCGGGTAAACAACTACAGAGAAAGTAAAAGGCCTAAAAAGCAAACAATAAAAAACCCTAATCTCTAGCAGCAAAGATCGCATCGCCACCGCCGTCACATCTTCGAAGGAGGCCAAACTTAGAACCAAGAAAGTATACACCAGATTTGACCCAAGATTAACAAAATGGATCATTTCTGCCAATTTCCCAAAAAAATAAAAACTAACATACCAATTGGAACATAAAATGAAACTCAACAATATGCTTCGAAATGCCACGTCAGCATTAATTAAGAAAAAAAAAAATTAAACATACCCATTAGAGATTCAATTTAAATGTGGCTCAATCAAGATAAGGGTTTGGTATACCCTTATCTGTGAAAGGTGGAACGTTTACGAAGGTTGGTTTCGGGTGGGGTGGGGGAGAATACACCCTACTTTTAAAAATCAGAATTGGACCTCGAATAGCCACTCATTTGGAGGCTCAATAGTCTTCATCACGATTGCGATAACCCACTCGAGTTTCAAAAAAGGAGTTTGTATAGGGTGAATAGATTTTGGGTTTTACAATCAGCCAAAAAGTAAGTTCAAATTTGAAATTTTGAGGAAATTTTGAATTTATTCTAAATCCCTTAATAAAATGTAGAGTTTTGCAGTTGCAGGAGAAGAACGTGAAAGTTGACATCATATTCTACACTCTTTCTAGAATACACTCTTATATTTTTATAACCAACTGTTAGGAGTTCGTAGAAATTTAGTATTTAGACAAACTTTTTCTGATTGTGACTTGTATGAGAGAGGCAACTAAAAAGATGATAAGTGTAGATGAAGACCATGTCCGGAAAGAGTATGTAAAGATATGATAAATTTGTTGTTTTTCTTTTATGTGTGTGATTTTCTTTTAATTCTTCTTATACTTATGATTTACTTATTGATTTTTTATATTTTGATTGGTTGTTACATGGTGGTGCTAAAAGCTTTCGTTTGAATGTCATTATAAATTGGGATGATATAGTGGTTTTTTGTGAGAATGATAGAGCCACGATTGAGGGTGCTAAAACAGATGTAGAAGTCGTTGAGATTATAATTGCTCCACATAATGAACCTAATGATATTGATTTGGTTGGTGATACACAAGGTTTAGAAGATATTGAAATTATTAATGAGATTTCACCTAATTCAACCAATGGTCAAAAGACTTAAAGCAAGAGAAAACTACCAAGTTTTGTTGATGTACCACATACAAGAAACCAACCACCCCTAAAGATGTGATTGCAAATTCACTTGCCAAGATGGCTTCATCCTTTCAAGGCTCTATTGTGCAGACACAATGAAGCTTGATCCAACGAGGTATATGATAAAGTAAATGTAATACCAAATCTCAGTGAAGAAGAACAAATCAAAGCATGTGCTTGGTTGATCGAAAATGACAAGAAATTTCTCATGTTGAAGACAATCCCAATTGAGAAGAAAAAGGATATGGTATTGTTGCTTACTTCACGAGGTGCACAAGATTGTTTTCATTATATTTCTCACTTTAGTGTTGTTTAGTAAGATATTAGTTAGAATAAAAGTCTTTAATGTCATGAAAGTTTGTTGACATTTGCAAGTGATAGGACATATTTATGCAACTTAGTTGTGTTGTTTCCTTGCATTTAGTTAGCTAATTACTACTTATTATAGAGTTTTAAGCTATTTTCGTGTGTTTGTAGCCCCTAATGACAAAGTTGGCAAGAAAAGACAATTTTGAGCCTTTTAGAGCAGTTTTGGGCTTATTATGGATAGCTTGTATATGGAGCAAGGTGAATGGACGAATTTGGAGTCAAAAGAGGCTAGCAACATGCTACATATCAAAAGAGACAAGTTCAAGACAAAGAAGATAAGGAAAGAGCAAGAAATATGGAAACTTATCCTAACAACCTTATCTTATCCAAACCTTATCATATCTTATCCTAACCTAATCTTGTTCCACCTTAATTCTAGCTGCAAGTGGACCTAAATACATGATTTCTAAAAGCCTTATTTGATCCTAAAAGAGTGCTGCACCCTTCCCCCTTTTATTTCTTCTAGAAGACCTAAAATCAGCCACAAAACACAGTTTCTAGAAGGCCTAATTTTTGGCGAATTTCCCTAACCTTTTTCCTCTTGGATTTTGATTTGAATTGGCCCTTTTCCTCTTGGATTTGGATTGTATAAGTTCATATCAGAAATTAATTGGGCTATGAATTATTTCCCAAGCCTTGCCGCACCCTAGGAACCCCAATCCTTTGTTTCTGCTAAGTCTAACCCTAATTCTGATTTCCTAGGGTTTTGTCGTGCACTATATATATATATATATATCTCAATTGTGCCGCACCCCCATACACTGTTGGAAGTATGCCCACAAAGCCACTCATTTGATGTAATAGCTTTTTGGAATACTTATTGTGTTAAACTTTTATATGTTTAATAGAAGGGCAAAGCTTATTGTTAATCACTATTTATAGTATCTTGTGTTTAAGCAATAAGGGAATCCAAGGAATGTATTTGATCTAAGAGACAAGTGATTTAAGTTAGTTAAATTAACGAGACCTTTCTCTTATGTTCATTCCTAAAACGTTCCTAGCCATAGGATTGCCAATTGGGCATTGACAATCCGCTAAGGTTAGTATGTGTTATGTCGACTCAAGCGTGAGTATGAACTAGTCTCAAGTCATTTGGTGTTGGACACTAATGCAAACACATAGGTGCTCGAAAGAGTAATCGAGTACACTGAACAACGATCAAACAAGAGTTCGAACATACATGTCATGTGAGAACTCAATAGTTGCAATATGCAAAGTAGTCCTTTGACCTGAGGCATCATTGATGTCTAATGGTTAGGTCCTTGATCTTTGATTATGTCAACGGCATTCCATTGGAGTGTCCACGGCATTGTTGGGGTCAAGCTATCTAGTCATGTAGGCATATGAATGTACAACAAGGGATCTCTAACCTTCCATGATGGAAGGAGAATACTCTAAGATATGATTCGAGAGTCTTTGGCCAAAGCATATGAATATGACTAAGGAAGATGTTCCAAATCTTATTCAATTGAATCATATAGAGAAGTATCACATTGGATAGTAGACATGAAACAAACTATCACTTAAACAATGTGATTAAGAGTATTGTATTAGAGAAGGACCGTATTGCATTGTAGTTGTAACTGGATAGGTTCTCCAACCACTTCTACTTAGCTTGGGTAACCATGACATACTGCTAGGCGTCACCCATGGTTTGTGGAAGCCCTAAAGATTAGCAAACACTAATTTAAGGGAGAATTGAAATGTGGTTTCAATTCACAATCGATCGTTAAGAGTAACATCGCCCACTACCTCGCTAATTGGAACCTAATGGATCGTACACCGAGTAAAGATATAAGTGAAGAAATTATATGAAATGGATAAGCAATTAAATGGTTTAATTGAAGAATGGTCAAGATTAATTAAATAGTTAATTAATTATACGAAACGTTCGTATTGGGCGTTTAAGTTAGTTTTGGGCTTCGGGGCACAAAAACGTTTTGGTCCACAAGGCCTATTATGTTTAAGTTGTACGACAACTAAAACAAAATGGGCAATTAAGCCCAAATACAACATATGGCCGGCCATAAGCTTCAAGGGTAGTGAACTTGGCTTAATTGCAAGTTTGCCACTCCATTGTGAGGTGGTATAAAGACATCTTTATAGCCATTTCACCCTAAGGGTTTTCTAATTGAATTTGGGTGAAACCTATTCTCTCATTTAACCTTAGGGGAGGAACATCTAGCAATCTTTCTTCCCTAAGTCATCCATTTCATCTTCACACAACATCTTTGGTGTGGAGACTTAGAGACACCAAACTTTTGGTGTTTTGGAGAACAAATCCTCAAATCCTCAAAGAAGAAAAGGAGCACTAAAAGGGAGGAAATCACAAGGAAGATTCAAGGAGCAAGGAGGTGACTTGAAGGCCCTCCACTTGGGTGAATCCCTTGTGCAATCAAGGATGAGCTTCAAGGGTAAAGAATCTCTAAATTCTTATTCTCTTTAATTTTGTTAAAGAGTCTTATGGTTCACCATATACTAGGCTTTGAAAGTCATGGGTTTTATGAATTGTTTTTGAATGCATGCCTACTTTAAAGAGTTATTAGTTTGCATATGTATTCAAATGTTCTTACATGTTCTTAGCTAGGACAAAATTTTTCCTTCATACACACCCTATGCATCCATTCATTCTTCCATT